GCAAATGCTGTAAATAATGCCTTAAACCAAAGTAGTTCCACACAGTTTTGCACTAACTCACAATTCTATACCTCAGTGTTAAGACACTTCTCTCTACCTCTCTAGGGCTTCCTTTAAGCCACTTGTTGAGCCTTAAAAACTTTTGACCTCTATGACCTCTATGACAGTATTTTGCACTTCTTAGATTATAGCCTGCTTTATACGGCATGGAGAGGGGGGAAATGTGGGCAGACAGGGCCTGGCGTTCAGAAGATTTCGGGATGTATGGAAAGAAAGGGACCAATCCCCTCCAATGCCTGACAGCCAATAGTAGCTAGGAGATAACGTAAGCAGACGGAAGTGACAATGTAACTAAACCTTATAAAAGGCCGTGTTACAAACTAATAAACGCCATTTTACCACCCACCACATTGATGTCTGTGAGTTAATGGCCCGAGTGACTAAGACGTAGTCACCGTACCCTTCCCGGACCAGGTCGTCATGCAACAGAGGTGTCCCAGGCAGGCCTGGCCGTGGCACTCAGTGCTCGGGGCTGGGGGACAAGGTGGGGATGGGGCACAGGGTGGGTCCATGGGCTGGGAGGGCTTTTCCAACCTCAGGGATTCTGGGATTCTATAAAAGCAGGGAATCCCTCTCCTGGGAACAGCTCACACCAGGGTCACAGTGCAGGGGGCAAGAGGATCATGCCCCAAGAGCTTATGGAGGGAGGCGAGAGCGACCAGGGCTCTGACTGGTTTCCCTGCCCTGTACCCTCCCAGCACCTTCCAGCCCCGCCCTGGGGTCTCCAAGACTCACGTTTTTGTACAGTTTCTCCGCCAGCTCCTTGATGTGCCGCAGGATTTTCTGCTTGTTCCCCTCCTCCGCCCGCATGCGCTTCACCTCGTACGCCACGAGCTGGGGACGAGACAGCAGCTGAGGGGAGCCCTTCCACGGCCCCCTCTGTCCCCAGTGTCACAGCTGATCCCAGCCAGTGCTCCAGGGCAGGGAGGGCCCAGTGGGATGGCTGGGGAGGGGGGACAGCTCACCTCGTCGAACAGGTCGATGGAGCGATACGGGGCCCCGCGCTCGGTGACGAAGCCGGCGAAGGCCATGCCCTCCAACACCTTGGTCAGGAAATCGTCCTCCGTCAGCCCCCGCTGCCCCAGGAACGCTGCCTGCAGGGGGAGAGCGTGTGCCATCAGCATGGGGTGACATGGAGCGAAGGACACGCACCCGGGTGGCACTGGGACGGTGCCACCTCCTGCCCGGCCCAGCTGGGCACAGGGACAGGGTTTGCACGGAAACCTGAACCTCTGGACAGGAGCAGCAGGACAGGGGGGGCAAGGGAAGAGCACCAGGGTCACCTCAGGGTGCAGAGGCAGGACACAAGGACATGGGCACAGGGATAAAAGGACTCAGGGGTACAGGAACAGCTCAGAGCACTGAGTGCCACGGCCAGGCCTGCCTGGGACACCTCCAGGGCTGGGCACTCCAAACCTCCCTGGGCAGCCCCTGCCAAGGCCTCACCACCCTTTCCACAAGGAAATTTTCCCTAAAATCCAATTTGAACTTCCCCTGGCACAGCTTGAGGCCATTCCCTCTCATCCTGTCCCTGTTCCCTGGGAACAGAGCCCGACCCCCCCCGGCTCCCCCCTCCTGGCAGGGACTTGCAGAGCCAGAAGGTCCCCCCCGAGCCTCCTTTTCTCCAGGATGAGCTCCCCCAGCTCCCTCAGGAGTTCTCCAGACCCTTCCCAGCTCCCTTCCCTGCCCTGCACACCCTCCAGCCCCTCCACGTGTCTCTTGTGTGAGGGGCCCAGAACTGCCCCCAGGATTCCAGGGAGGCCTCCCCAGTGCCAAGATCTCAAAACCCCCCAGCTCCAGGCCCCCTCCTCCCCGAGCCTCGGAGCTGCCCTGGCTGCAGGAGCAGGGACAGGGCTGTGGAGCATCCGAGCACTCCAGGGCACGACCAGGGAAGTGCTGCCCGATCCAAGAGACCTCGGGACGCTCAAGGACAAACACGGGATGCAGGTGGGCCAGGGGAGGGATGTCGCGAAGGTCACCGGCTGGAAACCCGGAATTGTTTTTTTTTTAATTCAGCTGTCATAGCCCAACTCCTCCCAGTTCTGCCCAGCCTCCCCCTGGAAAAGGCCCCGCACACACCTTGTGGAAGCGGATGACGGGCTCGGGGTGGATGCGGATGATGTGCAGGCACCAGCGATAGCCCTGCAGCAGCTGTGCAAACAGGCGCAGGAACACGGCTCGGATCTCCTTGTCCTGGCAAGGGAAGGACAGCGAGCTCACGGAGTGGTCACGGCGAGGTGGGACAGGGTGTGGATGAGGCAGCTCCCAGGGCAGGAGTTTCCCCCCCACGCCGAGGTGAGGGAATCAACCCACTGGGTCAGGGGAGGAAACACAGCAAGGATTCCAGGGAAAATGGAGCACAGCAGAATGGAGTCACTGCTCTGCCCCCTGGATGCTGTGCAGGGAGGAGAAGGAGCTCTCACAGCCCCAGGATTTGCTGAAGGGCCCAAACGTTCCATGTGTGCCTCCGGCCCTGGCCATGAACCCCTGGGCAGTGCCAGTGACACCAGGATGGAGATAGCCTGGAATCGTGCCCAGGAGATGGGAGGGATGTCCATTAGGAATGGCCTCCCCACTCACCTGCATCTTGAGGGAAGAGGCAGAAATGGTGGAAGGGAGGAAGGCGAGATCAGCCACCTCCAGCTCCGGGTCCAGGACCTGCACGGGGAACACACACAGCTTTCTTCCCGGCAGGAAAAGCCAAGGAGAGCTCCCGAGAGACCCCACAGTCCCCCTGGAAAAGCGCTGAGGGGTTTGGAGACAAACCACCAGGGATCAGGCACGGGAAGCCTCATGGTCTGACCCTTCCTTGGGAATCACTGCTGGCAGAGTGGGGATCCCAGGGGAGGGGGAACCCCTCCGGCTCTGCCAGGGAGATCTTCCCCCCCAGTGCCCCCGAGGAGCCAGAGCTGCAGTGTGGGCTGGGCACAGTGCCCTGGGCACGCTCTGGAGCACCAGGAACACGGGAACAGCCAGAAGGGCTGCAGGGCCACAGCTGCTTCCTGCCCATGGGCTGGGAGCCAGCCTGCCCATTCCCAGAAACCTTTGGCAGAGGAACCCCCTCTGGCACTGCCACGCATCATCGGATCGGGATTGGGAATGGTCCCTGTGACAGGATCAGGAGAACCCCAAGGTGTGAACCCTGCTCTCAGAGGAGCCCCAACTCCGTTCCCAGCTCCCTGGACATGTGTGTCGTTCTGGCACCCCAGGGATGGAGGGAATGTTGCGGCACTTACCATGGAAAGGGCTTCCCGGGTCTGCTGGAGCAGGGGCTCGGGGAGTAGGGAGATGTGGACACACTCGGGAACGTTCACAGTCCCACCATCCAGATCCGCGATCACCACATCGAGCTGGAAGGGCAGCACAGCGTGGGACAAGGCCTGGCTTCCCAATCCCACAGGTCCCACTGGACCCAGCCATCCCCACTGGACCCAGCCATCCCCACTGGACCCAGCCATCCCCACCAGGCTCACGAGGACACCTGGATGCATCCCAGGCTGAGCACACGGAGCCTGTGGCCCTGGGCACCCCGAGGATGATGCCTGATGCCACCCGAGCCTGCTGTCACCCCACCCTGGGTCACCCCACCCTGGCACTGCCCTGGCACAGGGAACAGGGATCACGGTGTCTCACCAGCTCCTGCGTCTCCGACTGGAAGATGGAGTGGACCCCGATGATGAAGGGGGTGGGGGTGCTCAGCACCTCCAGGAGCTGGGCGGGCAGGATGGGCACGTAGGTGAAACTGCAACCAGAAAGAGCCTCAGCGCAGCCCCGAGCCCTGCTCAGCACCCAAACCCGGGCACCAGCCCTGATCCCGGCTCCGCAGGGCAGGGTTAGATGGGATATTGGGGAAGGAATTGCTGGCTGGGAGGGTGGGGAGGCCCTGGGACAGGTTGCCCAGAGAAGCTGTGGCTGCCCCTGGATCCCTGGAAGTGCCCAAGGCCAGGTTGGACGGGGCTTGGAGCAACCTGGGCTGGTGGAAGGTGTCCCTGCCCATGGCAGGGGGTGGCAGTGGACAGGCTTTAAGGTTCCTTCCCACCCAAACCCTCCTGGGACTCCATGCTTCCATAACTCTATAATTTGATCCCACTGAGAGAAAGGAAAGGGGATGGATTCTGGAGGTAGAAGCACCTCTGGCCTCTCCCATCTGGCATCACCACGGGGTGACTGCACAGTCCTGGATCACATCCCATACTCTCATGGGATTGCTTCCCTCTGCCAGGAGCTGCCTCAGCCAGGAACAGGGAACACTGCTGAGAACACCTTACTCCTGCTTATGGAATCATGGAATATCCTGGGTTGGAAGGGACCCACAAGGATTATTGATCCAACCCCTGGCCCTGCACAGACACCCCAACAATCCCTCCCTGTCCCTCAGAGGATCATCCAAACCCTCCTGGAGCTCTGGCAGCCTTGGGGCTGTGCCCACTGCCCTGGGGAGCCTGTTCAGTGCCAACCACCCTCTGGGGGAAGGACCCTTCCCTGAGATCCAACCTGAGCCTGCCCTGGCACAGCTCCAGCCCTTCCCTGGGTGCTGTCCTGGTCACCAGGGAGGAGAGAACATTTCCCAGCTCAGCCCATCCCGCCTGGAGAGGGGGGAGGCAGGGCTGGGAGATTCACCAGTCCCACTGGGAGGCAGATGAGCCGGCACAGGGTGGAGGGTCGGGGGGCTCAGGGACCCCTCACCTGTACTTGAGGGGGAACATGAGAGCCAGGAGAGCCCTGCAGGCGTCCGTCAGCCGCTGGTAACTGCTGGAGAGGAACAGGATCTTGTGCTCGGTCAGCGCCGCGCAGAACAGGAACAGCACGTTGGTGATGCCTGGCAGGGCACAGGAGGGCACTCAGAAACGTGGGACCCCTCCTCCACCCCTCCAGAGACCCCTGACCCACCCCCCAGGGCTGGAGAAGTCCCTCTTCCCAGAGGGGCAAGTGTGGGGCCGGGTCTCACCGAGCTGGCGGAACAGCAGGGCCACGCTGCAGCTGCTGACGGGGAGCGAGTCGTTGATGGGAGTCTGGATCACCTGCCTGTCCCCTGCCCCCAGGGAGATCGTCCTCTGCAAGGGAACACACGCCCAGTCACTGGGATCATCCTGGCAAGGCACGAGGGACGAGGCAGGGGCAGCCAAACCCCCCTGGAACAGGGGACAGGGCGACCGCACCCCTGGCACAGCCCCTGTACCCAGCACAGCTGGAGCACGGCTGCTGCAGGAAGAGGGAGGAGAAAACAGGGAAGAAGGAAGAGGAAAGAAGAGCAAGGATGTTGCCACTGAACCCCTTGGGTGCTTGACTGGGTCCACGGGCTGAGGGGAGGAAGGGGACCTGTTTCAATATTCCCAGCCGGCACCAGCAACATCCCGGCGGCCCCAAGATCCGCACGGAGACGTGGGACACAACGGCTCCCCAGCACTCAAGGGCTCCCCAGGCCATGAGGGCTCTCCAGGCCCTTGGACCCAAGGGGAGCAGCTCCCCTGTCTGTGCCCACCCAGCCCTGCTGTGCTGAGGAGCAGCACCAGCTCCACAGACCCGGCTGCCTCCCGGTCATGGGACGGACAGACCGGGCACGGGTTCATTGTTTCTTCCCCAATGCCACTTATCATTCCCAGACTGAGCCCATTCCCAGTGGCACAGGGATGCTTGCACACCCCAAGGCTTCCTACAGGCTGCAGGGGCTGGGGCAGGAGCAGAGCTCTGGCCCTTCTCCTCCTCTTTCCACACCTCCCCAGGGAACACGCTCCTGCAATAGCAGGTTTCGCCACCTCCCCACAGCCGCAAGAGCTCCCAGACCTCGCCAGGAACAGCCCCAAAATCCAGTGCTGGACACGGCCGTGGCCGAGCAGAGCCAGACCCCTGACCTGCTCCTCCAGCCAAGCTTTCACAACCCCCAGGAGAACACAGAGAGGCAGATGGGCCAGTCTGGAATGCAGCCCCTTCCCGGAGCCCAGGGACACGTCCCAGGACACACAGACAGACAGCCCAGGGCACCCTGAGACCAGGACACGGGCCTGGGTGGGCCACACTCAGAGCAATTAACAGAGAGGCTGTTAACGAGGGGACAGACCCAAGGTGGGAAAGAAATGTGGGAAAGAAATGTGGGAAA